ACAATCCCGGAGGCAGTGCTGGTCAAACAGAAGGAAGAGGTGCACCGGGTGCCCGTGTCTGCATTCTATGCGAGAGCATTTCATGCATTCAGCTACAAGTTTGAACTCCTCAAATTCACCATTGCCAAGCTACCGTCAACCTCACACGAAGCGAAGCCTATTGCATTCAGGCTGCTTCAGACCCTTTGGTACATGGACAGAGTGCGCGATAGCTTCTTCGAGGAAATGTCGAACTCAGGCTCCGGCCGGTCGCCTGCATTTGACTATTACCTGTGGTTGGATTGGCTGTGCAAAGTGCACTCTTGGTCGGAATGGTCTTCTAGCGAACATGACGATGGCATCAGAAGGAAGGCTGAGCAGCAATGCGGTGTCACGTTCCAGTCCGTCACATCCGGAGTGAAGAGGATCGAGGACGTAGGTGAGGCTAGCCTGCATGATAATCTATCTGCTTCCAGCGTTGACCCTCTTTTGGACCCAGTCAACTGGGAGGTGTATCAAGAATCTCAGATAGAGGCCGTTGACAGTTGTGGATTTGGGTATCGGTTACGACCTATTGGAAGGGAGATCCCCGATGCCAGTAAATGGTCTGAGGCCATCATGTTCAAGCTCTTGCCCTACTATGCCACCAGTAAATTGGGTATTCACGTAAGCATTCAGCATCGCCATTTATACCTTACGTATTTATTCAAGTGCTTATGTCGTAAGCGAGCCATGAGGCTTGGCATGCATGCCGAGCTCTCCCCTATGCCTTTCACCAAGCTTGACCGTGATGTAAGCGTTGATGGCAATTTGGATATCGGCATGGCCTTATGACAAACTTCCATCCGTGGCCAGCATCAACCAAAAAGGAAACAAGGCAACGTGGAGAGAAACTCCCTAAATTCGGAAGATGTCCACCATACAGCTTCACAAGTGGGATCAGAGATAACGTATGTCCGATCAGAAGGGGGCCACCAACTCGGCCGGTCAACTGATCATGCACATGTTCCGGCCAGTGGCAAGTCAGAGGTAAGCTTGATGTCCTCTCTAAGCTCTTCATTGAGTTGATCACCCATTGGACCATAACCAACTAACTTGCTCATTCCACCGGCAGGTCTCTCTCCGGTCTGGCAACAAAGACGTCCCCGATGATGCCATCAATGAGCTTCTTCGTCAAGTAGGGATCAAGCTGAACAACAACAAAATGGTTTGAACGGGATAAGAGGGAGAGTCGATATTGTGTATCCGGTGAACAATCAGCGCGTGTACGTTAAGTGCACTTCACTGACCCGTGACTAGTGGTTGTTGTGTAATGTAATAGTACAGAATGGACGTTGCATACGTATTGGTGAGTAGGCGGACAAAGTTAAGGTTCGACGGCTTCCTCTCAGGCGAGATCCCAATCACGAATGGGATCACCCAAGCAGAACTTCGAGACAAAGCAACGTATAAGTCGAACAGGTTGAGGTCATCTATTGGAGGTGTTGCGATGTTGACAAGTACATATGGTATTGTTATACTCAAGCGACATACAATCAATCTCAGACGAATCTTCACTACTTCCCTTGAGTAACATTAACTCTGAAATGAAGCCTGAATATTGTCAATAAAGTATGCAAGCGCGATTGAAACCATGTGAATCGTACCATGCAGCGTGTACTGTGTCCTGTACATAGGCCTCTATACCAGTACGAACACCATGCGCAAACGCAGAGTTAGAAACAATACTGCACCCCTCATATTGAAATGCCATCGTACTGCCCTCCGATCTACAGCGTTCGAACACTTCCGCGCTTCGTGCCTTAAAGTAGTCCGTGCACGTGAATGTGCCCATCATGTAGGTTTCGCCATGCTGGGTGACATCGATAGCTAACATGTATTTTGCCAGATGGTGGTTGAAAGCGGCGTTACTAAGCGAATATGGCGCATCTTTAGCAACGAGGGGATATATATTTTTCTGAGTAAACAGGAATGCAGCCGCTACGAGACGGAGCACTAGCGACTGTAAGCCGTTAGAACCGACATAGAAATGGGTGGTAGGGTGGCCCGATAGCGGTGGATCTGACCATATAGTAAGGAAAGGGAAAGAGTCTACATCAGGCAGGGTCGAAGGATGTACAGCAAGCTAGGATCATAATAAGCAATAATCAGCAAAGACAATGGGGAAAAAAGTCTCATGACGCACTGTACAACAGAAGTACGGCGAGAATCGCGTACAAACTCGGTGACAGTTAAATTGAAAGCTGTCAGACCATCTGTAACATAGGAAGACTCCGTCACTCGTCCAACCGCGATCAAGAACGGATGTTGCAAATATGGCGCCTGCTCGAAATAAGATGAAAGACTAGGGTCCCCGGGCATCCGAAAGATTTGCTGTGGTTGCGAATCAAGCTGTATAGTGGAACCTGGAACGAAAAAGGGCTCCGCAAATACCAATGCAAGTCCGCCGTTAGCCGCAGGCTGATCTCCGAATGGACTATACACGCGAAGCTCAGTTGCAGGTCGATTTTGATTGTCGCAATTGAAGACTAAAAGCAGTAAAACGTCGTTCATTCTAACGACACCAAGGCCCTCATGGATTGGCTAGTCACCCATGAGGTGTACAACGTCTGCCAAGGGCGAAAGTTCAGCAACGATGAATGTCCAACGGTCGAAGTCATCTCAGCTGGTATGGAGAGCCTGGCGTTCGGGAATACTAACACGGTCTCGCAATTCAATGAGCAGCAGCGCCGTCTCCAGACGAGACGTCGCACCACTCCACTCACTGGCCCTGAAGCAGCGGCTCACCGCGCCATTCATAAGAGCCCCAAACCACCACGCGAGGCAGTGTCCACAGGCGGCAACATAGAGGATGATGTCGACTCAACAAACGTGTTAGTGGATCTCGAGGTAGATGTGGACCCGGCCCGCGAAGTTGGTGGGTCTGTGAGCGTGGGCGAGGATGAGGACGAGTTGGAGACATTGGCTACGGAGCTGTTGAATGTTGATTTACTAACAAAAACCCGTGATTCAGGACCAGAATTACTACTTGCAAGCGCTGAAGATGTCTCTTTCGACATGGACGGAGACTTTGCGGAGGAAGAGGATGACACTAATAACCATGATTGGGTTGAACCAGAAGATGCGTTGGCTGACACAGACTTATAAGGTATATTCTATCTTGTTCTACATGTTCTCTGCTCATCTCTTTGAATAACTGCATGTCTGGTCTGTTACGGTATCTGTGGACGCGAGTCGTTCACCGGCAGCTTGCCAGCTCACATCAGCTCTCGCATATGGGGAGTTCATTATATCCTCAACTACTCCTCAAACTCAGTCCATTAACTCAGTAGATGTCACCTCATGTAATTATATGTTTCTCGTAACAACGGAACGTCAGGGAGGGCTTAAATTCGAACTACTGTAAGAAGACGACCTTAGGTTTGAAGTAAATTTGCAAGACGTGTGACGAAAATAAGTTCTAATGAAATGGAAGTTCAAACCTCCAGCGAACATGTGACACTGAACCAAGCTATTCTGATTCTTCGAAGGTCCCTTTTCTCGAGGATATTGAGGCTGAATCTGAAGACCCTGACTATGACTCGAGGCAGGTGGCCTTGACACACGCACTATCAAGGCATACCCTACCAGTAATTTTATGGTGTATTGGACAGCACCTGAGGCCCACTTGGCTCCCCAGCCCAGTTTAGGTGAGGCACCAAGCAAGGCACTTGAGCCCGGAGATGTCAATTTCCCCTCTCTGGCCAATACTATGGGCTCGAAGCCATCTAATTCGAAGTACAAAGAGTTTAGGCAGCACTAGAACCTCCAAACCTATTGTACATCCTACATACGGATTTTGATTGTTCATTTATACTTGTCATCGCTAATAGTAGTCTCCTTCTTTTGTCACATACTCAAGTTCAAAGTACTGGGTG